TCACATGTCCCTATTTCAACTTTTGATCTACTATCTACTGACATTTAATTGAAACGAATATAGGGTGGTGCAGAATTCAGAATCTTGATCACCCGGTATATGTCCCAATTAAATATCAGTAGATAGTTAATCAAAAGTTGAGATAGGGACATGTAAGCCGTTTTGACCAATGTTAGCATCTAGCAACTAGATGCGCCACTGCTCAGTGGAATGTGCTTAGATCAGAGCCTATGACAGACGTGTGTGAAGACTGGTTCATATAGTATTCGGCTGATGGCAGCCGAGTGGTGAACAAGTGTAACCCTTGTCCATGTCATTTGTGCTCGTGTTTATTATATTATGACCATAATATAACATCAGAAGTGGTTGAATTCATGCCCCGGTGAAGTGACAAAATGCAATTATTTTTCCGGCGATTTTCACTGCGAAACAGATAGCTGTGGTTGAGGTATTTAGGTATTTATGCGTGATACATTCCCGGCGTTATGCCGTTATGTGATGTTTTATTGAACTGTAAGTACATGACTTCTTTAAAATAAGCAATGTACCAACAGTACGAAGGTCCAGTAACAGAGAATTTCGTGTTCGATCCTGAGATCCAGTATTTTTTTTTGCTACTCGTTTGTCTCGAAAACGCTGATAACGTTGACATTCCGATCAAATATCAGATGATTATTGGTATTGGAATGTACTGAACGTTTGTTGTTACCGTTTTCAATTGTATTGGCGATTACACGATATATATTTTGGAGTTTCGTTCGATGAATTTGCAATTTCAGTTTGTGATGATAGTTATGATGTAGGTATGTTACATAATTTTTGAATGAATATCTCTGGATATTCGAGAATGCAGGTAATGTTCGTTGTTCATGATTCATTCGTGCCCGAGTTGTGTTTCATTTCAACAAAAGGTGAACAGTAGATTGGATATTGTGAGATTTGAAGAAGTTTGGATGAGATTTGTAATGATCCTCAAAGATTGCAATATTACCGTGAGATTTGCATGATTCATCAACAAATGAGAGATTTCTGGTGATTTTCAATATACATGAAACTGTCAAAGATTTTCAAGGTTCATCAAAATTACACGAATAGATGGGACGAATCTGAAATTGTTTTAAAGAAATTTGTACATTATGGTACCACTCTATTGATTTTCTTCTTGATAAAAAGATGATCGTTGTACGAAAACTTTTAATGCAAGTAGGTAGAACGAGTTCTGTGAGTAGAACATACGAACAATGTTGGCATTGTTGACAAGTCAAGATCTGAGGCTAGACAAATAATTTTTTTTTGTTTATTCGCTCGCTGGCCGTTTCCGCGAAAACGGAGCAAAAAAGGGTTCCACAGGCAGAGCAAAAAATATACAGGGTGGTATGATGATGAGTTGTTACAACATGTTTATTCGCTATCAACTAAGATTTTTGCCTGGTATTGACAATCAGTGTTAAATTTGTTGACTGCATCGACAATGTAGGTCTCATGGAATAAAAGATTTGTAGTAATAGATCTTTCTTGGCAGAAAACATGTTGTGTTGAGCTGATGATATTTTTGAATTCGAATTTCAGAAAATCATTTACAATAGATTCAAATGCTTTGGGTATGAGCGATATCTTTGTGATTGGGCGATAATTTAATACAGAGTCTTTTCTGACTTCTTGTAAATTGGCACAACATAAGAGTTTTTCCAAAAATCTGGGAAAGTACCTGATTGAAGAGAATTATTGAAAATAATCCAGAGTGTACGGGACAATGAAAATGCACAAGATTTTATGAAGATTGCTTGCATAGTATCAGGGCCAGCTTCTTTAAACCAATCAATGCTCTGAAGTTTTTCTAGAATGTCAGAAATATTTATAAATATTTTATTAATGCTGATGGAATCAAATTCACTGTCTGATCTAGGATCTATAGAGGTATTGTCACTGGAGTATACTGAAGAGAAATGTTTAGCAAAAGATGTGCAATTGAATTGCCATCAGTTGCAACCTCATCATCAAAGAATATCTTATTGGGAATACCATCCTCCTGATTTTTGGAGCGAATATAATTCCAGAATAATTTGGGATCAGAGATAATTCCGTTTTCAACTTTAGAAATATAGTTATTGTAGCATGATGATGATTGTTCTTTGCATAATGATCTTAAATGAGAAAAAAATGTTGTAATCCTCCATTGAGTTGGTGCGTTTATATTGTTTATGAGTTTATGAGCCTTTTTTTTTCAGTACATATATTATAAAAACCACAAGTAAAAAAGTTGGTTTAAGTTTGGACTTTCTGACTGATAAGGATCAGTTTGGCCTTTCTGACTGATAAGGATCAGTTTGGGCTTTCTGGTTTTTGAAAATTTGGTCTTTCTGACTGATGAAGGTTGGTTTCAGTTTGAGCTTTCTGGTTTTTGATAACCTGGGCTTTTTGGCTGAAGGAATTCCATCTATCATGGTTAAGTTGATATGCATTTGTGGAATGAATTGTTGTGATTCATGATTGAGTATACTATCAAGGTGAAGTTGAAGCTAAAGTTGATTGGAGACACGTTTGACTTACAAACCTCTGAGCTGTCAAATATGCCGTTGCCATATTTGAAGACACGTTTGATAAACAAACCTCTGAGCTACCATATCACTGTAATTTTTATTGGAGACACGTTTGACTTACAAACCTCTGAGCTGTCAAATATGCCGTTGACATATTTGAAGACACGTTTGATAAACAAACCTCTGAGCTGCCATATCACTGTAATTTTGATTGGGGACACGTTTGACTTACAAACCTCTGAGCTGTCAAATATGCCGTTGCCATACTTGAAGACACGTTTGATAAACAAACCTCTGAGCTACCATATCACTGTAATTTTTATTGGAGACACGTTTGACTTACAAACCTCTGAGCTGTCAAATATGCCGTTGACATATTTGAAGACACGTTTGATAAACAAACCTCTGAGCTGCCATATCACTGTAATTTTGATTGGGGACACGTTTGACTTACAAACCTCTGAGCTGTCAAATATGCCGTTGCCATATTTGAAGACACGTTTGATAAACAAACCTCTGAGCTGCCATATCACTGTGATTTTTATTGGAGACACGTTTGACTTACAAACCTCTGAGCTGTCAGATATGACGTTGCCATATTTGAAGACACGTTTGATAAACAAACCTCTGAGCTGCCATATCACTGTAATTTTTATTGGAGACACGTTTGACTCACAAACCTCTGAGTTGTCAAATATGTCGTTAACATATTTGAAGACACGTTTGATAAACAAACCTCTGAGCTGCCATATAACTGTTCTTTTGGAGACACGGTTGACTCACAAACCTTTGAGCTGTCGAATACGTCGCTTACAAATTTGAAATCATAGGTACTTATATCAAAAAAATCATGAGCTGCTACTACTTGGAGTCTGTCGAGCGACGAGAGTCGGAAGAGCGCCGATGTCATCACATATCAAGAATCAACTATAACATGTTAGTCCGATGAGGGGTAATTTCATCATCAGCGATATCAGCTGCGGCATTCTATGGACAAACGAGTTTTGGTAGAAGTTTGTTCGACGAGTCTTGGGTTTGACGATAGAGGGGTGCACTGAGTGGGCTTGTCGTATTTTGTCTGCTGGTAATGAAACGATAACAGAGATTTCCAAGATAGCAGAGAGTTATCAAGCCATGTAGGTATTCCAAGGTGGGTTGACACTTAGGCCTAGTGGCAAGGTGAGTTGACACCTAGGCCTGTTGACAAGGTGGGTCGACATCTCGACCTGGTAAAAGTGGGTTGACACTTAGGCCTAGTGGCAAGGTGAGTTGACACCTAGGCCTGATGGTGACAAGGTGGGTCGACATCTCGACCTGGTAAAAGTGGGTTGACACCTAGGCCTAATGGCAAGGTGGGTTAACAATTGTGCTCTCTGACGAGCTCTAAATGACATAAAATTTAGTCAGGATGAAACCGAGCTTGTTGGGCCGAGAGCGTCCCAATCTCAGGATGGCCGTGTTAGCATCTAGCAACTAGATGCGCCACTGCTCAGTGGAATGTGCTTAGATCAGAGCCTATGACAGACGTGTGTGAAGACTGGTTCATATAGTATTCGGCTGATGGCAGCCGAGTGGTGAACAAGTGTAACCCTTGTCCATGTCATTTGTGCTCGTGTTTATTATATTATGACCATAATATAACAACCAATTATGAATAGTTTCGACACAAAAAATTCTTGAACTTGGAAAATCTCGATTTTTCACACCCTATATTTCAGTAATTATAACTGCTAGACCCCAAGTATAATGGGTCGTTGAAATCAGCTCATCAGGGAGAATCTCAAAATGAAATAATATATAGGGTGTTCGATAGAAAAAAGTTTAACTTCAGTGTTTTATGGTTTTTGGGGACACCCTGTATGTTTCAAAATAATTTCAAATGGTAGCCTTTGTTGACATGCAACTTCCTAGAGGGAAAGAATTCCAAGAAGATAAGTGGTTAGCCTTCTAGAGACCGAGGCGTTACTGGTGGCCCACCCTGTATAATCTTCTCGGGCCGCCCTGTATATGCGGCAATTTCCAGTTATCAAAGAACTCGAGCAATTGAGCTTCGACGCACTATCGCCCTTCCCCCTGTATATATTCAGAAATCAGAATCACCTCGGTAATCTCTTTCTACCACGTATGTCCCTTTTCCAATGAAACGACACCCTGTGTATTGATATTTTTTGATTACTAGACATTATTTGTTTCAGCGAATATTCGATTATTTTTCCACTAACGACAAAAAGTTCGTATTGACTTGCGAATTCTTGCAGAAGGCACTGCAACAACATGGAAATAAATTTGACGATTACATCGCAAAACTATAAGGCCTAATTATCAATTATTCATACAATCTTTTAACTTAGCAACCAGTGTTTGTATCACATGGTTGCCTACTTGAAATATAGATTCATCATAATAAACAATTCAATGTGACCTGTGATTCTTTAAATAGTTATTTGAACCTCAGAAAACATGGATAAGTCAGAAGAAAATATCTTGAAAGCACAAATATACCATTATTTCAATGAGAAACTGTACACTCATATGCTAAACGCAGCAAAAGAAGGTGCAAGTAAGTTCAAAGGTGACGTTTCCCTTCATCTTTACCATTCTTTGGCTCTGATTCTGATAAATCGTCTGGAAGAAAGTATCCACGATCTCGAATCAATCAGGAATGAAAACGATGTGAAATTAGCTGTTACCATAGCGCTCATTTACACCCATAAGATGCTGGGAGTGGCTAATAAGGAGCTATACGTGAAACTAGATGGGCAAATGAAGGAGTACCGCAAATCCTCAGAAGCTGTGGACTTTTATCACTCTTCTTTCGTTCTTTTGTGCTTGGGAAAACCGGAAAAAGCTCTGGACTATGCGGAGAAAGCTCTGTATATGAAAGACGCTTTCCCAGAGTGCCAGACCCTCAAAGGATGGATCTTGATGCAGCTGAGCAACGGTAAGAATATAATAGAATGTAATTCATTTGGTATTAGTGACATTACATTACATTATGTTTAATACAAGTCAAGTACAGTAAAATACAAATAATACTAAAGATCAAAAACAAGAGGCTTCTGAGAGATGTAATACGTATAATGAAGAAGTTTCCTATATTTGGATTTTTATTTCTCCGTGAAGTTCTTGAAACAATATTATACATGGTGTGTCTAAATAACACCGAAAAAATTCAAGGGGTGATTCCTTGCGGTATTCTAGAAAATAAAGTTCATGTAAACATGTGTCCTAACTTGCTTAGTTTTCGAGATAGAGGGTATTAATATTTCCATGAGAAATATTTTTTCTATTCATACCTCAATCGTCTGTTCATCAATTTCGATAAAACGTTGTGGTTTTCTTAATAGTAATATGGAGCTTCTACTAGTCGTCACAGCGGGTAAATTTATCGATATTCATGGTGAATGTCATTGAATAAGATCGAACCATTGAAATAACAACTTTTTTATCCATTGTGTGATTTTTTTATCTAATAAAAATTCGATTTGATTCCAAATTTCAATGTAAATAGATGCTTTCAAGACTTCCATTGAGATTACTCAATAAAACCCCAATTAGAGCCATTTTGAAATTTTGGGGCTTTCTCAGTCTCCATCCATACTGAATGTTGGCACCATGAAAACTTATACAAGGGGGGTTATAAATAAAAACAATTGAAACTTCCAACTTCAACATCCTGTATCTCAAAAATAGAGCAAGTTAGGACACATGTTTATATGAGCTTCATTTGCTAGAATATCACAAGGAATCACTCCTTGAATTTTTTCGTTGTTATCTAAATACACCCTGTGTACGTATTTTTTATTTTCTCTAAGCTGAGACTTTACTAAAAACAATCAAAGAAATAGTTTCGGCTCCTTCACCATTCTGCTGACGTCATTGGTGAACGGCCATGTTCACACAAAGCTAATACGAGATTTTGCTAGTGCGACTGCGACGCTGCCGTTTTCATTTATAGGTTTGAGTATTAAGAAGTTCTGTATGTATGTATTGACTGTAATGATACTTTACTACTATTGGCTAGTTTAAGTTGTAATCTTGATTTCCTGACTAGTCGAAAAGTATAAACCAAATTATTAATTTATGAATGTATGATTAAATGATTATGACTAATCAAGATATCTGGAATATCTCAATTACTCAAAGTCGAATCTTGAGATGAATAGATTCAGATTGAAGGGATCCTGTGTGGATTCTCATTGTTTCCAATAAAAAAATCACCGCGCCCAACACCAGTTTTACACCAAACCATGCTGATACCTGCAAATTTAATTAGGTTATGTTTTCATTGTTCATTGTTGTTAAGGGTCTTTTTCTTTCTTCTTAATCCACGGTCTAGTATTATACAGGGTGTTATTTAAGTATGTGACCAAACTTCAAGGGGTGATTATTTGGGTAATACTGAGACGGATAGGTCCAGAAATGCTTCGTTTTCAAAGTCAATAAAAACATCGTTTTTTACTAATTTCTCTCAATTCTGTGTTCCAATTTCAATGATTTTGTTAACAGTATCAAGTAGCATCTCTTGGTGTGATTATATTCGAAATAATTATTCCAGTAGCGTTGCAGTGGGTTACTTTTTCGATATTTACGGCAATTAAGATACTCATATACATCATATTTTTGCCAAGTCAGATATTATTCTTATCAGATTGAACAATTGATACCTAATACAACTTTCTTGCCCTTTTCTGAATTTTTGTACCACTTAGTTTCGTAGGAAATGATGAAAAATTTATTTGATTCCAAATTTCGAAACATCCATCTGAAATTTGTCACCAACCAGATTAAATTTTGCCATCATGAGAGATTATACAGGGTAATCATGAAAAACAACAATCACCACTTTCAATTTCAAAACCCTGTATCTTTACAACAAAGCATTTCTCGATCTATGTTTCATCCTATAAATGCGCTGTTGATTTTTTCCTTCGTTTTTAGTTCGGGATTGATCGTAGCACGTTTATATCGTTTCGTTTCGTCAGTTTTGGAAAGTGTCAAATTACATGTCAAAATTATAAAAAGTGTATTTGTTCTACCAAGATATATTTGCCATTTATTGAACCTTTATTCAATAAATACATAGCCACCTCTGTTATAATTAACCCGAAGTCACTGTCCTGATGCGAAATTCGTAGGAATGGCACTCAAATCTAGTAGGCATTCATCAATAACGACTTGTCATAATGCTGTCATGGTCATAGCTACCTACTTGATTTCAATTACCTACAGATAAAAATAATCACTTTTATAGTGATAATAGGTCCATATTTCAGTTTGAAAGAACTGTAATGATTGAAACGAGGATTGAAATATTATATTGCTAGTGGTGAAAAAGATGTAATATACACCTTGATAGTGGAGAATTTTGTTACCACGTGACCTTATACCCCACGGCTGAAGATACGGGATTAAATGTTGGTTCCTGGGTATTAATGATATTCTTTACTACCTTGGTGTATAAATTACTATTATCAATGGTAACGCCAAGAAATTTCGAAGAGCTGGCATATCAAATAGCACCATTATTCAAATTTATACTTTCTTTTAAAGAAACTGCTGTTTGTGAAGAGAATAAAGTTAGTTTTAGAGATGTTTAATAGTAGTTTTCATGAAACCAATTGGTGACTTGTCAGTAACATCTACAGTATTTCGACTCAATTTGTCAAAACACTTGTCAGCACTCAAAAAATTCGTGTTATCTGCATAGTTTGTTGAAATGATAGAAGAACAATTGACAATTACATTACCAAAATCATTTACATATAAACTACACAACACAAACTTCGTCGCACCCTAAAATTTTGTCCCTGTTGAAATATAAATAACTTTTTTCTGCTTTGAACAATTTGAATTATTTTTGTTATTTATTAATTATATCTTATGTTTATATCTTTTATATATTTGTACAAATAATTGGACATAGTGGATCTATCCACTTGCTAGTTTCACGCTTTGTCAATAGGAAGAATGTTTCTTGGACAATAAAGCTCAGTTTTGATTGATTGATTGATTGATTGATTGAATTCGGATTACACTCTTCGCTAGCCCAGTCCTTCAGCTATACTCTCGTTTGTCTTCAAAACATGAGGTTCTTCATATAAAATCGCTACAGGGTGTCACCTGAAACTTTGAAAAGTCTCGGAATTTTCAGAAGGATCCAAATAAACAAAAACTTTTTTTTTCTACTTCGACAGCAGAGGAATGAAGATGATCTCATTACCCAGGGACATTTTTCAAATGGTCTTGTTATATCTTTTATTCACAGAGTGATCTCAAAAAATTAACTTTCAGGTGTTGCAGTCATAACTATTTTCCTTGTCAACCCGTTTCTTAAATCTCATTTTGAAGCTGAAACTTCAGATAAAAGGGATATGAAGATCAGAATTGACTCAAGATGAACATTATACAGTGCGTGCTCCACTTCTAATGGATGCACCCCTGTATTTTTCGTACTTGTTGAGTCAGGATTCTGAAACTTACGGGAGCGGGAGAGATACTGAAAATAAATACTATGACCAAGTGGAGTCATCTCCAGTGATAAACACTGCTCGCCAACAGCCATGGAACCACCCAAAATTTCCGGAAAACGGTTGAAAATCACTTCGTATTCGAAATCAGGACGTCCAAATCACTGATTACACATATTTTTCCTGAAAAATTTCCAGTTCAGAAAAATTAAATTTTGTCTCACTTCTCATGGAAGCACCCCCGTATCTCACGTAATTATTGAGGTAGGGTTCTGAAATTTACAGGGGAAAGCGAAAGGGACGTCCTGATTTTGAATCCAAAGTGGTTTTCAACGTATCTTGCCTCCTCATATCATTTTTGTGGGTGGGTCCATGGCTGTTGGCGATCAGTGCATATCATTGGAGACGACACTTGGTCATAGTGTGTATTTTCGGTATATCTACCGCTCTTGCAAATTTCAGAATCCTAACTCAACAATTACGAAATATACCGGGGTGCTTACATTAGAAGTGAGACACACTGTATTATGTTCATCTTGGGGCAATTCTGATCTTCATATCACTTCATCTGAAGTTTGAGCTTCAAAATCAGCCTGAGATTTCAAAAATCGGTCGACGAGGAAAACCAAAAAGATGATTTTTTGAGATCACTCTGTAAATGAAAGAAAGGAGACAATTCAAGAACTATCCCAAGATGAAAGAGATCATCTACATACCTTTACTGTCAGAGTTGAAAAAAAATTTCAGAAATTTTGCACAGTCTCAGGTAACACACTGTAGCGATTTTATGTGAAGAACCTTATATTTCAAAGAATAACGAGATTATAGCTGAAGGACTGAAGGAAATCAATGTCGCATGGTATAACATGAAGTTGTAGTCATGTTGTAGTCATCTTGTGGCAAAGTTCTGTGGTAGGATACAGATATCACGACACACACTGTATGGCGCTGCCATCTATAGTCACACGTACAGACCCCTACGTCTATACGCTACAGAGTGGTACTACAAGTAAATCACTCTGCTGACAGATGGCACTACCTGACATACTTGACAAGGTTGGTAGAACTGATGACTATTTTGTAGAGGAAGGTTGCCTCGATCGCACCCCGCGAGTGACCTTGAGTAACTCATGACGTGATAGGCCCTTTCTTTTGCACGAAAAGTGTAGCACTCTCGTACACTTCGTGTATGATATGTACGCTGACGATTGGCCGGCGCATGTATTGAGTTGACAGTTGTCAGTATTTTCGAATATTTGAACCATTTTGAACTTGAAAATGTAAAAATGATAATTTGTTCGGTCACTTCTTGTTAAAATTCGTACAAGTGTAATGAGACTAGTGAATTTAGTTTGTGTTTCCATTAATTTCCATAAGATGAGTCTATTCGTGAGAAATATGGATTCAATTTTGTGGACGTAATTTCATTTAATACCAAAACTTGGCGAATATGTTCTGCCCATTTCGATGCCGAGGATTTTGAACGGCACAAGCAGAATTGCTAAATCACACACCAAAGAGATGAAAACTCAAGGTAGGATTGGTAGGAATCCCATCAATAATACCAAATACAACAAGAGAAACACCATAAGTATTCAAGTTTGGAAAAATGATCAGAACCAGACCAGTTGTGAAAGTTGAGATTCTTGCTGAACGGGTAAAATGGACATCAGAAGATATCACACGTGTTTTCAAGTTGAGATATTTGAGCAAGAGTACGTTACCCAACGAAGAGGAGCTATGTTTATTTGAGAGATTCCTTGAACTATCCTTCATTATAGGTTCACTTATAATAGTAGTGTTATTTTTCATTAATTTTGTTCAGAATCATATTTTGTTATTTTTTTATGCTCAAATACTTCGATCAATTGCTCTGTTTTTGACTACAATATAATCAAACAATGAAATACTATTTCCTCTTGTATTTTCTATAGGTATCTAGGAAAGTTTGTCAATTTTTCAGAATACAGAGTTATATTGATAAAATAAGTGATCTGTTTTGTACGAATATTGGTCCACTGCTACTACTTTTATCTGGATCATCAGTTGATTATTCTTATATTTTCTGTAGTTCCTTGTTCACATTATCTGATTTGCAGGATATTTATAGGATGAGTAGGTTCATAATCAATGCATAAGTAATCACTAGCTCCATAATTATGCTCCATACCTCAAAACACACATACCTGGTACCACGACCTGGTAAATAGCCCCTGGAACAAAATTTCAGATAGGTATTCCTCTCTGTACTACTGATCCATCCAACATTGCCTTCTCATTTCGAAGATTGAAGGTATTATACAGAAGTATATGTAAATATCCATATTTTATAATGGTACTTACTTATAATTATATACAATAAACTAATATAAATATGCTGAGCAGACCAAAAAGTTTGTATCATGTTTGTATACTCTATTTGGTAAACATTTCATGACATGTCGCTTTAAGGTTGACAACTTGTCGTCTTACTGCCTGTGACGTCACGAGTGACCGTTTCCCCCCTTGCCGCACTATCGATCGAGGCAACCTTCCTATACAAATTATAATCAGTTCTACCAACCTTGATACTTGAGTGGAATTTTTCCACCACCTATTCAACTGCTAAATCTCATAACTAAGAGATCTAAGATGAACAGAGTTGCCCCAATTGTCAGCAGGAGCAGACAGTACTTTTTCGACTCACCAGGTCTTATCAGCCGCTCTCGGTCTGCTGACAGAGTACTTGTAGTACCACTCTGTAGCGTAAAGATGTATAGACGTATAGACGTAGGGGTCTGTACGTGTGACTATAGATGGCAGCGCCATACAGTGTGTGTCGCTATATCTGTATCCTACCTCAGAGCTTTGCCACAAGATGGCTACAACATGACTACAACTTCATGTTATACCGTGCGTCTTCGAAATGGGTGATATACCTGAAGCGTAGAGTTGTCCCAGTTGTCAGCAGACCGAGAGCGGCTGATGAGACCTGGTGAGTCGAAACAGTACTGTCGCGCTCCTGCTGACAATTGGGGCAACTCTGTTCATCCTAGATCTCTTAGTTATGAGATTTAGCAGGAAATCAGTGTTGCGTAGTTTAGAATAAACAATAAGAGCCCAAGAAGCACACTGCCCTGTGGTATTCCTATAAAAATAGTTTGTGGTTTGTGTGCATGAAAAATGGTCTGTTGCACCATATCTGATACATACTTTCTTCGTTCGAACGTTCAAGTGCGATCCATTAATAAGATAAGAAAAAAAGCCAATCACGAATAATTTACTAAGTGTGTCATGGTTCACACAGTCGAATGCCTTTGATAAGTCTAGGAAAACACCATGTGCAACATATCCATTATCTAAGAAATGCAAAAATGGCAGTGATTGTAGTTTTGCATTTTCGGAAATCATGTTGAATATCTGATACAATATTGATTGATTCCAAAAAATCAACCAGTTGTCTATTGATCTGAATTTCAAATAATTTGGAGAAATGATAAATAATACTAATTAGCCTATGATTTTCAACCAGGTAAGAAACCGTCTGAAAATATCAAAGATTCATTCCAAGCTGCTTTGCAACTACAACCGAGTAATCTGTGGACTATCATTGGCCTATCTCAGTGTTATTTATTCCAAAACGATTTCGCTGAATCTTTGAGCACGATAAACAAAGCAGTCGTTAGATTCAGCGGTACAGTGTTGCCGTTGGTTCAAAAAATTCGTGTGCATTTGTCTGCCTTTGATTGGGACCAAGCCATGGAGACCATCCAGAGAGTGACTGCGATAGATCCAAAGAATTTATTCGTGCAGAAATTGTACATAGTGATTCTGCTGTGTCGATCAGAGAGAGATAGTGAGACTACAAAGGAGGTGAGACGATTTTTTGAAAATCTGGAATCGAAGGAATCTGGTAATATTCAGCTGATGATCGAAAGTGCCCAATTGTTTAGCAAGATTTGTGGCAGGAAAGTTGAAGTTTTATCTGAGATTTGTAAAACTTTGGAGTCGGCGGTGCAAAACAATCCGGAAAGTTCTGGTCTTATTGTGGAGATTGGCAATCAGTGCCTGCTCAGGGGAAAGCCAAAAGAAGCTGCTAGGTAAGTAGGTATTATGTAAGAATCGACTTATAATAAAAGAGCTCTGAAAATTCCGAAACAATGACTCATAAACCCTAGAATCTCCCAAAAATATCAAGAAGTGGTCACTATTGTAGTGAATGTCAACGTTTCAATCATTGATAACAGGAGTATCATGTACAGGGTGATTGTTTATATTTTACTCAATAGTTATCTCAGTTGATATCAGGGTCACTAGATGCAATCAGTTGAATAAGAGTTCGGACACAGAAATGACAACTGTTAGTATTTTTGAATGTTTAGATCACCATAGTCGTCCCACGCTTTTCCATTCAAAATTGTTTGAATTTGACGATGAATACTATGAATGTCATGATTGAAATAATATTTCATCAACTATTGAGGAGAGAGCATGAATGAAAATGCCCTGCTGTGTAATGAATTGTGGCAATTCTGAAGGGAATTTATTTCATTTATCAATTTTCCAAAGGAAATAACAACCATTCTGTTATACAGTGTGACCCGTACGTAATCGTTGGGTAAGGATCCTGAAATTTGCTGGAGCGAGAGATATACTAAAAATGCACTCTATGACTAAGTGGGGTCATCTTCAGTGATATACACTGCTCGCCAACAGCCATGGAAGAACCCCAATTTCCGGAAAATGATATTAGGAGTCAAAATAGGTCGAAAATCACTTCAGATTCGGAATCAGGACGCCCATTTCACTAACTATTTATATTTTTCCTGGAAAATTTTCAGTTCTGAAAAATTAAATTTTGTCGCACTTTTCACGGAAGCATCCCCGTATCTCACGTAATTGACTTCATCTTTGGACTTTCCCTTCCTCCTGCAAATTTCAGAACCCTACCTCAATAATTACGTGAGATACGGGGGTGCTTCCATGGGAAGTGAGACAAAATTTGATTTTTCTGAACTGAAAATTTGTGAGGAAAACTATAAATAATTAGTGAATTAGGCGTCCTGATTCCGAATTCGAAGTGATTTTCAACTTATTTTGACCCCTAATATCATTTTCCGGAAATTGGGGTGGTTCAATGGCGATTGGCGAGCAGTGTATATCACTAAAGATGACCCCACTTGGCCATAAAGTGCATTTTTGGTATATCTCTCGCTCCAGCAAATTTCAGGATCCTTACCCAACGATTACGTAGATACAGGGGTGTTTCCATTAGAAGTGGGTCACACTGTAGAAGTGTAGAAGGAATGAATGAATGAAATAATTTGAAGACAAACAGAATTTGTGAGGAACATACATTAAAATTCACTTTTTATAGCAGCAGATTAGAATGAAATTATATTTCCGGCTCATTTCTAAACAGAAGATTTCGAGCTCCGTTTGAGAGAATCTGCAGCTATTTCATCCATTCACAAAACAGACTAATCAAAAAACATTATTATCCACACAAAATACAAAATGAAATCATCATGGAGAAAGAGGAATTGATTGCAACTACGTTATGAAATTGAACATTTGAAAACGAAACTAAGGAAATGAAGTAAACTGCAACGTTATAAATATCATTGAATGGCATTTTTCCATACTGACCGAACTAGCTATAAGTAGAATCCCTTGATGCAAACTGACGTATTTGTCTTCTTAACAGGGTACCTCTCACTCCAAAGTGTTTGTGAAACAGTCATATAGTTCCATCCTTTTTCAATTCTGGGGATAAACACTAGATTTTTTGACATTTGTTGGTTTTTGGTTATATTGAGGTAATTGGCGTATCATACGTAATTTCCATATGGAATTCTTGATTCAACTTTACCAAGGTATAGATGAACATTCCTCTAGTTTTATAGTTTTCTACTTCAGCATAATCTTTGCGAGGTAGGGAACAATTCATTTTGTGAACATTGTGTGGAAATCACTTTGAGCTTTTTGAATTTTTTTTATCCTGTATATATTTGAAATCAGATGAAAGAACTCTATCGATCAAGAAAATTAAATACAGGGTTTTACATTTAAAAAATAACCGTTAATGTAAAATTCTTGGGTAAGTATACGATGTTTTTTTTTTTGCATTTCCTAATACTGTATTCCGAATGCCAACAAAAATACTTCATATTCGCTTATTTAAACGTTTTGACCAAAGTAAGACCAATATTAACTGAGATAGGTATTGAGTAAAATATAAACAATCACCTTGTGCGTCGCACATTTTTCATATTAATAATTTTTCAAATAGTCCACACTGTAACTGCTCAAAAACTACCCCTACCTGTTGACCCTCGATCCTGATTTGCTTCTGGAAATAATGAAGAAAGCTCTGCAACACATCTTTAACAAAAATGTCTTCCAGAAGTGCGATTAAGGTTATTTTCGGGACACTCAATGTCATAGTGGAAGTTTGCCCGAGGCTGTCTGAAGCGATGTTTTTGTTGGCCTACCTTCAGTAAATACTTACCATTTTGTTTATTTTGATCATTTTCCTTTTTCATCTCTTATTCTCTATATTACTACAATTTTTGTTGTCATCTTTCATATTTCCTAGAATTCTCATTCATTGTCTCCATTTTTTCATTGTGTCATTTTGGAACACCCCTTTAATTTGCTCAATATCCTTTAAGTAGTTTGAATTGTATCAATGAACCAATATATTCACACAGAATTTAAAGAAATACAGTTTGTTATATTATTTCGATAGCGCCAAAAAAATCGACGAAACATCCCTAGACGCTCTACTAGGATTGTCAAAATGTAAAGTAGCAAAAAACAGAATTATACCCCAACTCCACAACCAAATCGACTTCCTGTTAGAAATGAATGGTGCTCAACAATCCTCTCTACTTCAATGCCTACAATCCAAAGTCACCGCAGACTCAGAGGAGGCTCTGAAACATCTGACGGCCATATGTCAGTCCAAACTGTCACTGCTCAAAAACTTCCTCTACTGTGATCATCACCTGTTGATTCTCGATCCTGATTTCTTCTTGGAAGTGATCAACAATACATCTATCTAGCGACAACTTCCACCAGAAGTCATACATACCATTTTGTTCATATAAGAACTTTGTTTTTTCTTCTCTTATTTTACATTATTACAATTTTTGTTGTCATATATCTTTTTTTTTTCGTCGAAGTGATTCATGGACATTATATGGGTCTAATCCCCCATTTGATAGTTTGGGAACCCCCTTACTCCAGGGTATACTCCCTAAACACTCCATCCCGTTTGTAGGCGCGTCTGACCGTCTCCGACGACACTTAGGCCTACTGGCCCATTGTATCTTGCCTACATTTCGTTATCAATTTTACCATATCGACTCATGGTGCTTCATCTATCATGTCATTTATTATATTTCTTAGAATTCTCACTGATATTTTTTACATTGTTTTCTTTTTGAAATGATAGTTTGAATTATTCAACTAGGCCAATACAGTTATACAAGTTTGAGAAAATATACAATAAGCTTTATTTTGCCAAAGGTATTTCAAGAACGCCACTAAAATCGACGAAACATCCCTAGACGCTCTACTAGGAGTGTCACAATGTGAATTAGCAGAAAACGGAATCACACCTCAATTGCGCAACCAAATCGACTTCCTGTTAGAAATGAAAGGCGCTCAACAATCCTCTCTACTTCAATACCTACAAGCCAAAGTCTCTTCAGACTCAGAGGAGGCTCTGAAACATCTGACGGCTATATGCCAGTCCAAACTGTCGCTGCTCAAAAACTACCCCTACTCTGATCACTACCTGTTGACCCTCGATCCTGATTTCCTTCTGGAAGTGATCAAGGAAGCTCTGCAACACATCTCTCTAGCGAAAACGTCTTCCAGAAGTGCGATTGAGGTTATTTTTGAGACACTCAATGTCATAGTGAGAGTTAGCCCAGGGCTGTCGGAAGCAATGTTTTTATTGGCCAAGCTTCAGTACGTCAAAGGGGATAGCACGAGTGCTTTGAGCTGTTTGGAGGAGCTCTTGGGACGGGACCTGAGCGCTCAGACTGAGGCTCAATTGCTTCTGGCCCAGATTCAGGTGCAGCAGGGGTTGTTCGACCGAGCTACTCAAAGTTTGGAGGTGAGTTATTTGGTTTGTAACTCAATTTCATCATTACTGGTAGCTTTTTCACATTTTTTATTAGGTAATAGTAATCGTCAAAAAACCAGCTGCAAATTTCGATCATCATCTGATAACGAAATGACATATTTTGAATTGAGTCGGCCGTTACTTGATAGAAATCCATGGCGAATGTAAAAACTTCACAAACGATAAGATTTCCACAAAATTCTCATACACACGACATGTTTCGCTAAACCAATAGCTTCGTCAGGTGATATACTGGTAAAATGAACTAAACTAACCTTGGCTTGCTCAACTTTTACATATCCTACTTTCCCAACTTGAAGGATCAGTTACCTGTGGAGGTTCGATAAACCTTCATTTTCGGAAATTAGGTACAAATATCTAGATTAAAATACGGTGTACCTGATTAACATGGAAGGATCAATAGCAAATACACAATATTACCAATAAGAAAACAGATTCCATAGTGGTGAGCTATTGAGGTCTAATTGATCGTTAAGTAAAATGTCAAAATGTTTGAGTTTGTTAATATCTAATGATTCAAAATGAGAGTTTTATTCCTTTATTTTATACGTGTAGAATTTCGAAATTATCATCAAAACTATGGTTTCCTTCTAATATATGGTTGGCGTATGTTGAATCCTTGAATTCATTTTTATTCTCAAAAAATACATTTTATGTTCCTGAATGCGCTGATTATACATACGACCTGTCTAACCGATATATACCTTAGGATAAGATCCACAGTTGAGTTTGTATATCCTTGATTTTTCTAATTCAGAAGTTTTGTCTTCATCATTTTTGATAAACCGTCCCAACGTTTTATTTGTTCTATAAGTATGCTACTTTTGAGGCCTGTTTATGTAGAAATGGAGCTAATTTTTCAGTTTATGATTCGAAATAGGTTGAAGTTCTATAATTTATTGAATGAAAAAAAATCATTCTGTGTTTGGAATTGTCAATATTGTCTTGTCAATGTCAAATTACCACTTTAAATTTTTACATTTCTGTGTCTTTCCTTTGATGGTTTGATTGCATCAGCTCATTTGAGTAGATTTCCAATTAATTCCTTCTCCTGATGTTGAACTTACTTATTGTAATGTTCTTTTGGCTTTTCAGCCTTTACAAAGCTTGTTGACTGTGAGGCTGGACTGATTATTATAACGAACCGATTATTACTGATGAAAAAATATTGTTAAGATGTTTTTCCACATAACAGGTATGTCATCTCTTTCTCAGCTACCATTTTGTTCAATACCTGTACCACTTATTACTTTCTAGATACTTTTTAATTGTGTCTGAAGATGGCCGTAGAGCCGAAACTATAGTCACACTGATTATATTTTTGATATTAGATATTGTGGTCGACCGATTTTGGGTTCGTTTTTTCTCCTGTTGAAGGTAATTTTGTTTGAGACATATCGACAGAAGGTCTAAAATCTCTTGTTTAGTAATTGGATTAACATGGTTTTCATCTAATAACTCTTCAACTAAAATTATAGTATCTTCGGGAGGTATACTTGGAAATAGGTTCTGTACATCAAATGAAATGAATTTTGTGGGGTCAGGTAGAGTGAAATTTCAAGCTCAATTTTGATTGAAAATTACAATAGTTTTTTTATTAACGTTGTTAATCTTTCTGATAGTTTAACTGAAGGAGCTGTGACAAATGAAACTACCGGGCGAATAGGATAATTGAATGAGAGAATAAAGTTGTCGTGGTTGAGGATTCATGATAGTTAATCTGAATTTTTTGGTTTCCTTAAAAATCGATTTAGAATTTCTCAAAAAGTTTTTTTTCTACTCACATAACTAGAATGGCATTTAGCGTATGGATATGTACCACGCTAAATGATCGATTAATCACGGATTGAGGATCTGTGATTTATTCAAAATATCAAACACGTTACCATGGCAACACGATTTCCTAAACACATTACCATGACAACACAGTTCATTAAACACAGCTTCAGTAATTTGGGACATGTCTGGCCTGTCAATTGTATTAACTGTCAACTGTTATTTTCAAATTTCGTATCAGAATTATTCGAACAAAATTCATTTGTATCAGAGTTCTCCATTAAAAATATATGCGGAATGTAGACGAAAGTGAAATCGCAGAGATGTTCTGGTACTTGCATATTTCCAAGAAGTATAAAAATGAAGCATCCATCTTTGAGAAAAATTTATTTATTATGTGCTAACCATGACAATAATTGTGAAACAAAGGTTAGTAAGCAATGGACTGGACACATGTACAGGATGATTCACCATAAATGTCCCCCCCTCTAGCTCACTTATTTTTGAACCGTTTTTTTCAGAAACTTTTTTCCCGTTGCATCAGAAAATACAGGGTGCTCGGAACAAATGATCTACAGAGTACTAATTGATTTTTTAAAATGGAACACCCTGTATTTTATTGTATTTTTAGATTCTTCCTGAAGAGCTGATTTCATCAATGTATCACACTTGGGGTTTAGCGGGAATGATTACAGAGATATAGGGTGTTTAAAATCGAGATTTTCCAACTTTAGGATTTTTTTGTGCCGAAACTATTCATTATTGGTCAAAACGGCTCCTATGTTCCCATCTCAACTTTTGATTTACTATCTAGTGAAATTTAATTGGAACATTTACAGGGTGGTTCAAGATTCAGAATTCTGGTCACCCTGTATCTGTTCCAATTATTAAATGTCAGTAGATAGTAAATCAAAATTTAAGATACAGACATGAAAACCGCGTGACCGATAATGAATAGTTTCGTCATAAAAAAATCCTAAAGTTACAAATCTCGATTTTGAACACCCTATATCTCTGTAATCAGTCCCGCTAGACCCCAAGTATGATACATTGATCAAATCAGCTCTTCAGGTAGAATCTAAAAATACAATGAAAAATAGGGTGTTTCATTTAAAAAAATCAAATAGTACCCTGTAGATCGTTTGTTCCGAGCACCCTGTATTTTCTGATCTAGCGGAAAAAAACTTTATCGAGAATCATTCAAGATGATATTTCAAAATTTAAAATCGGTTCAAAAATAACTGAGCTAGAGGGGGGGGACATTTATGGTGAATCACCCTGTACAACCAATATCACTTATACGTGTCCCGCTGGTTGCATGCAGGTGTATGTATTATGTTCTCAATTCCCATTCCTTTCGAATTATTTTGTAGGTTAGCAGGAATTGCAGGTATGTTGATGTAATTTTCGGAGTTCGTAGAAAAAGCATAGTATGTAACGCGTTTATAAACTATTCTAGACACTCGTTTATTAAACACTCGCTCCGCTCTGCTTCGCTCGTTACTAAAAGGACGTTTATAACACTTGTTACATAATATACTATTATCTGTAATTGGTAAGAATTAGTAGGGTCACGCCTAAATTAAAAAAAAAACAAGGGTTTTTTGAATATAATCATTCCTGTCAATAGCAATGACTGTGTTCCCTTAATCTGCTCTAGTATTTTATTAGTAGAAGTTTCATGAACTGATATGGCAATCCCCATTCCAGATGTGTGTCAGCCAAAACTTCAAAGTGCGAGAGAACCCCATCTACCATTACATAACCGGGTTGGTGGACAAAAACAGTTCAAATTTTCCCGACGCTATCAGAGCCTTGTCCACAGCGTTGAGTTTGGTGAACATAAAATCCGAGGTGAAATCCAAAGATGGCGCAGAAAACAGTGTCACTTTGGTGGAGAAGGCTTCCATTTATGTGGAGTTGATTGACACTCTGAATATCGTCGGCCAGACTGACGAGGCCGTTAAAGTACTTGAAGATGCGACTGAGGAGTTGAGAGGTACTCCCGAAGAAGCCAGGTGAGTGGTTGTCAGTACTCATTTTCAACCTGTAACCACTGAGATGGATTATTTTCTTTCAACTACTGAGGTGGAGTCTCACAGACTCCGACTATCAAATGGGGTTGATGAGGTATGCGAATTGAAATAATTCCAATCTTAGTACTGCACTAGTAGTATTGATGTTTTTGGGAGTACCAAACAGCAATTTCAAAAAAAAAACATCGTGAAAAAACAAAAACAGGAAAATATTGGGACATAAAAATTGATTTTTTTAAAAATCCCCATATGGACTTGGATTGATCTGATGTGGAAAACAATTATTGTGTAAAAATTGGTTTGTAATTGTCGAAGTGACAGACACAGCGTTACTGTCATTTTCGATTCAGTGAAATTGCCATAATGGATATAATACATGTGATCAGAAACTTCCAGGTACAGATGCGATACAGATGCGATCGCCAACGAGAAGTCTTAAGAAAGTTATGAGAAGCACGCGTTATATTGAATGGTGCAACAATAAAAAAAATCAAAACATCTAAGAAATAAGTATTTTTGGCTAATTTCCTAGAAATGTCTGAAACCTGGAGGCCAAACACCTTATTGGTATGCTGGCCTCCGCAATGGACCTACATAATGCATCAAACTGTACATTCACAATAACCATTACTAATAATAGAATATATTACTCTTGTTAGTTGTTCGAGAAAGTCGCGTGCGGAAAAGTATTACTTTTCGAACTTGTTAGAAAAATTACTATTTTCTACAAGCGTGCGTGATTCACCCTATATTGGGAAGTGTCATTTTTCCGCAGTACTGCGGGAAAAGTTTTCCCACACTAGTGCGGGAAAAACATTTATTTAATATTCGCGCAAAATATGAGTGGTGGGTGAAACAATATAAACATTTTAGGTGTTTTTGTTGCAGTATTCAGTAAGTTTGTACAAAATCGTCCATCAAATTGCACTATTTATTGTGAAAATAAAGATATATTGAAAAATAATAATTGAATGTTAATAAGGGTGTTTCATGAGAAGACTCACATAGCCAAATGGTTAATAGGGGAAATCAAGACGAGTTGATGTATATATATGAAACATTTTTTGATCCTCCATAACGAAGATACAGGGTATTATGTGAAATTGTTATATAACTTTGATGGCCGATATTACAGAAATGATTCATCGTAATCTGCTGGAATTTGGCAGCTGAAACTATTCAAGATGAAATATTATGAAAAAAAAAATCCAGGTTCGGACTTGGGAAAATTTCATGTTTCATTGTTATGTCAAAAAAGTTCACTTTGTGTAACGACTTTTCTCGAAAAAATCCATCAGATTCAGAAAGATCAGACAGAATGCTATAAGAATCGCTCTTCAATTTACTTGGCACACTTTGGCCGGTTGAATAAAAAAATATGGAACAAAATCGTTCGAATGAATTTTCAATTTCGACCTGGCTGATAACTCTCAACTTTCAACTGGATTCGTGTAAATTGATTGTACTTTTTCATTGGATTGAAATTGACAGAAGAGAGTAGTTATGATTTTTTATGATTTGACATGTTAGTTTTTGACCGAATTTCTAGATAGATATGATTACTCGTGACTCTATTTTATGAATTTGTTATAATGTTGGCCATGTTTTTATTTCATGTAACGTGGCGTTTGTTGATAGGTGAACACTGGTAATCGAAATATTCTTGCACTCTAGGTGCCACTTCATATTCCAAATGCTGAACAAGACGAAAATCCAAATGCTTTGCTATGTTTAATACCATAGAATATTTCCAGACACAAGAATACGTTGCAGTAAAACCTTCACGAGGATGAACATTAGGAATTTTAATAAATGGCGAATGCATCCTTCTATCACTTGCAGAAGTGTATCAATAACAAAAAATGGAGCTAAGTTTATGCGTAATGGCATAACTAATTTGATATATCACCATAATATGGGCACATGAATCCTCATGTCGTAATTTCATCAGTTGGTACCTACCTAGTACTAGCCTAGTACCTACCTATCAGTTCGGATTATCAACAAACGTCACGTCTCGTCACACAAATGAAAATCAGGGCCTACTAGACACCCATGAAACAAAGTCAGGAATAATAATATCTATCTGGAATTTCGATAAAAAAATATCGTGTTTTTTCTTCTCGTCTATCTTTCTGTCAATCAATATTCAACAAAATTGTAGAAAAAATCAATTCACATGATACCAGTTGAAAGTTGACAGTTATCAGCCAGGTCGAAATTTAAATTCATTCGAACGTTTTTGTTCCATTTTTTTTTGAACCAGTCAAAGTGTGCCGAGTAAATTGAAGAGCAGTTCTTGAAGCATTTTGTCTGATCTTTCTGAATCTGATGAAATTTTTCAAGGAAAGTGATCACAAAGTGAACTTTTTTGACATAACAATGAAACATGAAATTTTCCCAAGTCAGGACTTGGATATTTCTTTTTTTAATATGTTATCTTGAATAGTTTCAGTAGAGATACGTCGCTGCCAAATTTCAGCAGATTACGATGCATCATTTCTGTAATATCGGCCATCGAAGTGATAAAGTAATTTAACATAATACCCTGTATCTTCGTTATGGAGGGTTAAAAAATGTTTCATACATATATACATCAACTCGTCTTGATTATCCATATTAACCATTTGGCTATGTGAGTCTTCTCATGAAATACCCTATAAATCCTCTATAGCCTTTAGTTGATCTGATGTGGGAAACAATTGTTGTCATGTCAATCAAAACAAAAATTAGTTAGTATAATTCTCAGATTGACAGACAGAGCGTTTCTGTCATTTTCGATTCAGTGGAATTGCGATGAAAAACTTCCAGCTACAGATGCGATACAGATGAGTTATTGCCAACAAAGTCTCAAGAAAGGTATGAGAAGCACTACACGGGATTTATTGAATGGTGCAATAGTGAAAAAGTGGAAACACCAAATAAAGAAGAAGTATTTTGGCTCATTTTCTAGAAATGACTGAAATCTAAAGGCCAAACACCATGGGCATGCTGGCTTCCGCAATAAGCTTACCTACATAATGCTTCAAACGGTACACACAATAGATATATTACTAATTATTAGAAGATAGAGAATATATCACTATTGTTAGTTGTTCCTATTTGCAGGAATAATTGATTGAACAAATCAATCAATTTCCTACGCTTGTGAAATAAATATTGTTCCTAACTCATGCGCAAAGTGTCTTTCCCGCACTCGACTGCTTGCCCGAACTCTGCTTCGCGTCGTTCGGGTCAACGGCATTCGCGTGCGGGAAAGTATTACTTTCCGCAGTTGTTAGGAAAATTACTATTTCAATACTTTCATACCCAATCAAGGAGGATTCAAGCTTGAACGATGAATACAGACCTGTAATCACAGATTCGTGATGGATTTTCTCAATTTCAAATTTATTTCCACGCCTTGTATTGATGAATATCAATTTGTCATACCATACCAACAGACAATATCTGGTAGAAGTCCATGATTGCTCAAAGTGAAGTGGAATTTTTCAAAAGAAAGAAGGAAAGCTCAAAGTCATCTTTTTTATTGATGTAAATCAATCAAGGAGACATGTTTCGGACTTATAACAGTCCGTCTTCAGCCGTTTTCAGAAGTTAATGGAGGTGAAACAGTATTTCAAATTGCATGCCGATGTCTGTCATCATAATATCGTAGTTATATTAGTGAAAAGAGGGGTTGAGAATGAACGGGTTGAACACGTTTTTGGCATTTGGTCCCATCAATTTCAATTGATTTTTGGATTTTTAGTGCGCTTTCTCAAGATTACAGGACTCTTTTGTTTTATCCTGTTTGCAACCGAATATGGTTTTTATGTGCATTTTTGAGTCTTCGTCATGTTTTTCCTTCTGGGACTTGATATTTTGTTCTATAAGTGCGCGTTCTTAGGGCACGGAACCCTTCATTTTTAATGAAAACCCGTTTATTCTCGACTCCTCTTTTTACCAATATAAGCACGATATTATAACGATAGACATCGTCATCCAATTCAAAAAACTGTTTCAATTAACTTCTAAAAACGGCTGAAGATGGACTTTCATAAGTCCGAAACATGTCTCCTTGATTGATTTACATCAGTAACAAAGTAGTGGAGATGACTTTGAGCTTTCCTTCTTTCTTTTGATACCAACAGATAGCATAGTTTGGACGTTTTTCCAGAATTCTACTGCTGAGTGCAGACCACTCTCTCACCAGAAATAACATACAGGGTGCTATTGATCTTTTGAGCCGCATAAAACCGACGGATTCTTGTTACTTGGAAGCGAAATCGAAGGAAGCGGAGATTTTACTGAAATACAGAAAAGACAAATATGCCTTCTTGCAATATTATCAAGATTTCGTCAAAGAAAATCCTTCCTCGGAGTATTATGTGATGCTTGGTGATGCTTATATGAAAGTTTTGGGTAAGAATACAATATTTCAGGTTGAATGTACAGGGTTTGTAATGGTATAAATATACAGGGTGGGGCTATATAGTGCGTCGGAGCTCGATTGCTCGAGTTCTATGATAGCTAGAAACTTGATTAAAAAACGAATGTCAATGAGACAACAATGTCCGTAACTACAAATTATTGCCACATATACAGGGGGCATCGGAAAAAATCTAGAGGGTCAGGATCACTTTTTTAAAATGGAATGCCCTATATATTAGCACATTTTTGAAGCATCCCTGTGACCTCCATGACTAGTTTTCGATCATTTCAAAGTTATTAATTTTTTTGTCGAAATAATGTCATCTACAGATCCATACCGAAAAAATCACTGTAAACACAATTATGAAGTTTGAGAGATAATAATAGTCTAAGAGCTGGCTACACGAGTTTCAACGTGACTGGGTACACTCACAATTTTGTTCTGGAATGGTTCCATTTATGGTGTGGAACACTAAGGCGCGAGTCTGCCTGGTCGGTCTGGGGGACTTATGTGGGGGCGAGCGGGGAATGTTGCAGAGTTTCGAAGGGAATCGACGTCATTAGTACAGTCATGAAATTCCGTGTACATGTAGTATGTGACGTCAGAAAGATAGTTTGATAATTGGCAGACTGTTTTCCGGGGGCTGAATATAACCAGAGTTACAGTCGTTCAGAAAAAAATATAATTTTACGTTCCCCCAACACTTTATTTTTTGAGATAGGACAAAAAGTGTGAAACAAAAATACTGAGAATTCATCAAGGATCAAACTGCATATATTTTCAGTACACCTTGCTAGAACTCAATACGGGAAAAATTTCAATGTTCTATTTACTCTTAGCTGTTACGCCACCTAGCGGTTATTTTAGAAATCTGAAAATATTTTCCGGCTATTATTTTTTACGGTCACTTTCCTTGAGATATAAACTACTCAACACTAATTTCGTCGCACACCAAAATGTCGCCCCTGTTATAATGTGAATAACTTTTTTCAGTTGAAAACAATTCGAATTTGGTTCACACTGTTCGATAGCCCAGTCCTTCAGCTATAATCTCGTACTTCATTGAAACATGAGGGTATTCAAATAAAATCTCTACATGGTGTTTTCCGACACTGTGCAAAATTTCGGAATATTCAAAAGGCTCTCAAATGGTGAAAAAAAATTTTTTCTCAACTTCGACAACAGAGGCATAAAGATGATCTCATTACCTCGAGATATTTCGCGAATCAACTTCCTATCTCCCTCATTTACAGAGTGATCTCAAAAAATCAACTTTTTGGTTTTGCAGCCATAACTTTTTTCCACGTCAATCGATTTTGGAAATCTTAGGCTCATTTTGAAGATAAAACTTCAGATGAAGAGATCTGAATATCAGAATTGACTTAAGATGGCTATCAAAGATCTAGAGTTTTCTTGAAAGTGACCCAAATCTGGAACGCCCTCCGAATCTTGGTTAGGAGGAGAATTGAATGAAAATCAACTTGTTCTCGGAAAAATAATTCATTCTGGATGCGTCCATATTTTCCTCGCCCTCAGTAGTCAAGAATTGTGCGTGAGAAAACACAATTGAAACATGTTCTTGCAAAAACATTAGATCATTTCTCCTCTGTAATGCATGGCCTGCCGTAACCAACGTTACAAGAATCACAATGAGTGACTGACAAACCCGACCAGCTGAGGCTCATCATAAATGGTGTACCAACAAGAGCAACGGATTTTGATTTTTTCTAATAAAGTGATTTTTTCAACAGTTGTCATGTACATAACATGCGATTTAAGAATATGGAGAAGTAATTTTTTTTTATCGCTTGAAGCGCACGAAAGGGAATCCCTATAATGTTCAAAGAACATCGTGCGTTCCTAGGGAGGATAGGGATAGGAGGTAGGTATTGGATTTTTTTTTGAACTTCTGGAGATTATATGTTGTTGGGAATACTTCCACAGGCAATGCATTCCAGAGCCTAGAAGTTCTATGGATGGAGGAGTCTTGATAAAGTGCTGTTCGACATCTTTCGAGGTTGACAACGGAAGGATGTGCTGACTGGGCTTGTCCAGTTCGTCTGATTGGTATTGCTAGTGAAGGGATGATAGCAGAGATTTCCGAAGAACATTTCCCGTGGAAGTATCGATAGAAAAGTGAAAGGTCGCCGACCTTTCTACGGTGTTCCAATGATGTCAAAGAGTGAGTGAGTGTGGCGTCACCCACCAGGCGGATGGCTCTTCTCTGGATGGAATCTAAGAGCATCAGCGTATGTTTTGGTGCTGAACCTCCATATGTGGGAACAGTATTCTAGAACAGGCCGTATTCAAGCGAACAACGTTTATTTATTGTAAAAACACAAATATTCCCAGCATTAGCTCGGAGATAAGCCCTTTGAATGGATCAGACTGTCGTGTTTAGCAGATCCGCGATTTCGAGGGAAGATAACCCTTGTTCCCTCATTTGTGGAATCAGTTCCAACTGGTCGTATGTTAGATGCGGCATCGAAACTATCAAAATCTGTTTATGATTCGAAAACGACGTCTAACCTGACTTGTCAGTCACTTACTGTGATTCTTGTAACGTTGGTTACGGGCCATGCATTACAGAGGAGAAATGGTCTGATGTTTTTGCAAGAACATGTTTCAATTGTGTTTTCTGACGCACATTCTTGACTTCTGAGAGCGAGAAAAATATGGACGCATCCAGAATGAATTATTTTTCCGAGAACAAGTTGATTTTCATTCAATTCTACCCCCAACCGAGATTCGAAGGGCGTTCCAGATTTGGGTCACTTTCAAGAAAACTCTAGATCTTTGATAGCCATCTCAAGTCAATTCTTATATTCAGATCTCTTCATCTGAAGTTTTATCTTGAAAATGAGCCTAAGATTTCCAAAATCGGTTGACGTGGAAAAAAGTTATGGCTGCAAATCCAAAAAGTTGATTTTTTGAGATCACTCTGTAAATAAGAGAGATAGGAAGTTGATTCGCGAAATATCTCTAGGTAATGAGATCATCTTCATGCCTCTGTTGTCGAAGATGATAAAAAAATTTTTTTCACCATTTGAGAGCCTTTTGAATATTCCGAAATTTTTCACAGTGTCGGAAAACACCATGTAGAGATTTTATGTGAATACCCTTATGTTTCAATGAAGTACCAGATTATAGCTGAAGGACTGGGCTATCAAATAGTGTGAACCAAATTCAAATTGTTCTAAACTGTAAAAAGTTATTCACATTATAACAGGGGCGACATTTTGGTGTGCGACGAAATTAGTGTTGAGTAGTTTATTTTTTTAAAGTTGTACCATTACTCATTGCTGAGATATGGCCGACAGCCGTTCTCAGTTGTTCACCCTGTACAAAGGGACCATTGAATTAACCAACGACGTTGAATGGGCGTGTACACCTTAGTAGAACTTTCAACTCAAACCATGTTTATAATGATCCTTTTATACATGAATAATGATTGACGACATAATTCGATCAAAAAATTAACTGGAATGTTTTATTTTTGGACATAAATAATAGTACCTTCTGAAAACGGGCCCTTTGATGACGTAGAAACCTCATCTCGCCATAGTTCAAAGAAAATACCAAACGCCCGACGGAGACTGAAGCAACTGATATATTAATTCTTTCAACTGTGATCTCGCGCTAATTCACTCTGTCAGAAATCATGTATCATTCATTTGTGTCTGGAATAGTCTTGTTTCAGTATTAGGGTTTTGACGCCACATCATCGCTTCGTTTTCAGAGTTCCGAAAAATCGGGGATTACAATAATTTTTTATAAAACGTAGGGAGCTCACAGCAAGAAACGGTTTGCGGTGGTGAGCTAGTTTGGGTGAGTTCTATCGAATTATGAAATAATATTTTTTTTGTTATATAAGCCCATTGAAGTTGCAAACTATGGAAACTTCTGAAATGGAAAACGCGCATTAATAAGAAAGCTACTAATTAACTGGACATTATCTATGAAAAAATCATAACTTTGGATGATATCTCAATAGCTCAATTTCAAAAATTCACCAGGCCACTAAATTCTACGTAAAAAATGTATAAAAGATAGTTTTCACTTTTCCTATAAGTTGAAAGACTGCTGAGATACAGGGGGAATTCGAAAATGCAACATTTTCAATTTCGCTCTATATCTCAAAAACGAAGCAGGCTATGAAAATTTTGTTTGCGGTGTCATGAGTTTCAACATCGAAAATGAGATGGCCTGTACCTACAGGATGTTTTTTTTTACAAAGTTCTATGTAGATTCCTCATCCTGCATAGTTTACCCTTTTTAGAACCAGACGAAGCACTTCAATGTTACGAAAAGGCATTGAAAGACAGCCCCAAAGACGCCTTCCTAACCTCAAAAATGGGCAAGGCCTTAGTGGAAAGTCACTACTTCTCTCGGGCAGTCACTTATTACAAGGAAACCATCGATTTGACTAATGACGTAGAACTGAAATTGCAACTGGCCGAACTTTACATGAATCTTAAAGATTACGAAAAGGGCGAATTGATTTTGCTGAACGAAATGGAAGAGGAGAAACTGCACGATTTGGAGGATCTCACTTATTTGAGGGGCAAAACGAGGCTGTTGAGCCTTTTGGCTCAGATCCAAGAGAAGTCCGGTAATGTGACGTACGCCATGAGGAGCTTGAAGGACGCTTTGAGTACTCAGAACCGGATCAAAAAAAGAGTTGAGCTAGAAAGTGGTAAGTCCATATTTTTACAGGGCTACAGACATTATAAATTCATTCTCTGGACGATTCGTGAACGAATTTAAGTATCATTCTTGAGATTTTAATACACCCATACAGGGTGTTTCAAAATCCAATAAGTATCAGGATTTCAGGGACTCATTTTTCAGGTATTTATTAAGGTATAAATATGTGTCTGCAAAACGCCTCGTTACCGATATACAGAGTGCTAATCGATAAAGTTTTAACAATTATTTTTCAGCACTTTTCATAAAGAGTCAAGGTTTGTTATGTTTCCTATTCTTCAGGTTATGTTTGGAAACTTGTAATTAAGATCACAAACTAAATACACTCAGTTCCAAAAAAAGTGACGCACTTGATATTTGACCTATCTTTAAGAAAAAAAATAGTAGACCGATTATTTTTTATTTGTTGGTAGGTTAAAAAAAATAAAGAGGTGAACATTTTTTCAGAGCCTCCTCCATGGTGGTGAAATAACTCGAACCATGATTTATTCCTAATTTTTGACACCCTGTGTGTTAATTGAGTAATGGCATAGAAAATGCTCACACCCTATACTAAGAGGATTATTTTGCGAGCATTTTGTTTTTTCATTCATTGATTCATCTCTAAAATTTTCCGAATTACAGCTTTTTGAATCCTTGCAGATTACCAACTTTCTGAATTTATCGAGAAACAATTTTCTAATGAAATAAACTGATACCAATAATTTTAAAAAACATTTTTATTAAACATAAAATTATAAATTGGGATGACTGCTTAATACCGTGTATTGCCTCCTCTAGCAACTCTAAGAACTTCTTCCACTAATGCATCTGCCATTTCTGCGAGACTTTCTGGGGACCTCTCGCGAGAACGTACCCTTCTCCCTAATTCATCCCACAAATGTTCTATAGGATCCATACCGGGGCTTCTCGCAGGCCATTGTGATGTGATAAATACCAGTAGCTTGTAAGAAGTTTCGCACTATTGCTGCGGTGTGTGGTCGGGCATTATCCTGCATCAATATAAAATTATTGCCCAGTAACTCTGATGCATAAGGTAAGACATACTGCTCTAAAATGTCAATGTTAATTTGGGCATTCATCGACTGCCTCACCGGAAAAACATGAAGGGATGTCTTTCCATTCATTGAAATCCCTCCCCACACCATAACGGACCCACCATTAAAACTTTCGCATTCTGTTATTAAATTTTGATTCAACCGTTCACCAGTTCTTCTCCACACTCTTTTTCTTCCATCCACCATGTTGAGGCAAAACCTTGACTCATCCGTAAACAAGACATTCGACCATTCAGGAATATTCCACTGTCCATAAATTTCAACAAAATTTCATCTAGCAGCACGATGTTCGGGCAATAATTTGGAACCTCTTGCAGGTCTCCTAGCTTTTAAATTAACTTCTTTCAGACGTCTACATACCGTCTGCTTACTTACTGCAACATCACGAATTTGGCGAAGATCTTGCTGAACATTTACCGCAGTATTTGATCGATTCCGTAATATCCGCAATCTCAAGAAGCGATCATCTCTTGGAGAAGTTTTTCGGGGGCGACCAGAACCGACCCTCCGAGCGGTGCTTCCTGTTTGTTCGTACTTGCGGATTGCTCTACGAGCAGTTGCTTCATGAACTCCCACTGCACGAGCGGCGTAACGTTTACTACGCCCATCGTTTACAAACTCAACTAATCTTGCTACTTGTTCAGGATTTATTTGAGGCATTTTATGTAATTTTAGTCAATGAAACAAGACACTTAATTAATGACACAATGACAAATGGTCAAATATGGAGGCATACAACAAATTAGTTGTTATGGTATTGGCATTTGTTTTTTTAAAGACAATGTGATCCTACCAGAGTACAACCCAATCAATTTCTAGTACTCTGATCCCTCAATAAATTTAATTTGTGGGATAAGCGTAAGGTATCAGCAAAAAAGCTGTAATTCGGAATTTTCTTGAGATAAATCAATGAATAAAAAAACAAAATGCTCGCAAAAGGAGCTTCTTCCGTATAGGGTGTAAGCACTTTGTATACCATTAGTCAATTAACACACAGGGTGAGTCAAAAATTAGGAATAAATGATGGTTCGAGTTATTCCACCACCATCAAGAAGGCTTTGAAAAAAATGTCACCTCTGTATTTCTTTTCAAAGACAAATGCATTACCTACCAACGAATGAAAAAAATAAAAATCGGCCTACTTTTTTTTTAAGAAGATAGGTCAAATATCAAATGCATCACTGGAACTGGGTGTATGTACCGTTTTTATATCCAAATGTGATAAAAGGTTCCTTCCGTTATTGAAAATATGAATTGAACTTAGCAAACTACAAGAAACTATTGTTTTCTCAATAACGGTCGCAGATGCTCAAAAATTACAAGAGACAAAAAAGTTTCTGAACGGAAAAACTCATTTCGTATTCCAATATCTACTGTGGCACAACACAGAAAATGTTATGGAGAGTTTATGTTTATACTGATTCATTGCCATGCTATTCTTCCATGGGATATGATAATGTTTAGTCCGTTCAATAGTCAGAAACACTAATTTCTAGAAAAAATACTATGGCGTTCATCACGTTGAGGGTAGGCACTTAGATTTTCTCGAATTGTTAATTCCTTCCAGATTGCCCAAAATGAATTCCCAAAGAAATGCTCCGTTAGAACACGACGGAAAATCATCAACGGTATGACGTCACAAGTTCTATATCGCGGCGACCGTCTATTGGTAATCGGGAAAAAATTGAGAATTCACTATTCAGTGAGGTAAACAGCGTTGCCGTCTCAAACGATTCTTCACTTGTTAGGATATTTCAACATTCATCGGTCTCAAGATTTAACTGATTTCAACAATGTCTGAAATGTCAAGAAAGTTCAAAACTCACTCTTGTTTTCTTTCACACTGGATTAAGACATAGATGGGCATGGCATCCTACAATCGTCATGGGAATTTCGGCAGGATCCTTTCGGGCTCGAAGGTATCCTTGTCCTGGGCATTAAGATGAAATCTTTTGGGCTTTAAGATTTCCTAGACTGTCGCATTCGAGGTAGTTGCCAGCTGAACGAAGGGAACTGCTGGCTGCTTGGGGTAGCGAATGACGACTGATGGGCAGTTGCTGTCATGACGGCACAACATCTTGGTCCATTCGTCTCAATGAAGCTAGTAGACGTCCATGGGCGGCAACGACGAATTCATATATTAGGAACTTCGAACCATGAGGATTTTATAAACATAAAGTTAATCAAATTATAAAAACTGACCAAGGAACTCTCATGAGAAACGTGCATATCTAATAAAATGACGTATATGAATATTGGATGTGAGGGTTCCGAAGTTAGTCTGGTCTGGGGCTACTCTTGACTTGACAAGAGCTCGTCGTGATGGTCGTTATAATGTAAATTGTTATTAGGTCTTTATATTCATTGTTGTTTATTCATATTTATTATAACTACCCATAATGTTCCATGCTCTAATAAATATTGTTATGTTTGAATATAGTATCGAACTTTCAGCTACCCCTAAACTATTAGTGCCTATTCGAATATTTATTTATTTATTGTAGAAGAAATACAAACAGAGCCATGAGGCCCTACTTACAAGATTTCTATTTCCTAAAACTAGAAACTAAATCTAAGTGAAACAATAATATTTAAATTCATACTTAGCGATAAATACCTAACCAGATATATAAAAGTGTATACTCATATCAATATCTACCCGAAAAAGAAAGATAATAATGAAAAAAAAAATAAAAAAAGGAAGGTATCAATTAAGTTTTAGGTACTTATAGTGATATTAATTATCGACTAGCAAGAAAATTAGGAATTATATATACTCGAGAAAACCTATTGGAATTTTGAAAATTATATGAATAATAACATCACTCAAGATCATTATGATGCACTCTTATTTCCTTTAATTCTCTTTGAAGTCATGAGGGTAACCGAGACTTGCCTTGATTACAGAAATTCAGTATTTCGTATATTCAATTTAACTCGGTTATAGTTGAAATTGTAAATATCGACTGAGATTCTATCCGCATGTTTATTTACTGTTGCGCACATACTATCAATTATATTTGGAGACCTGGGAATATAAAAGAACGTGTTTCTTGGGCGAATCACATGTGAAGGAGCATATATTTTTAACTGTGAGAGAAGATACGAATCAGACACTTTATCACTTAGTAATTTGAAAATAAACATTATTTTTTGCCGAGTTCGTCTATTTTCCAACTTATCTATAAGAAAAGCTTTTCTATGTGGTTCATACGAAGAGTGACATGGAATTGAATTGTTTCAATCACTTTCTTTTGTTTTAATGTGGACGGGTCCCAGATTATGCTATCATATTCCAACCGTGAGCGCACTATGGAATGATATAGCAGTTTTATTGTTTTTATACTAACGAATTCTTGTGTCATACGTTTGAGAAAACCAAGTAGCTTCTGTGCGTTGCGAGTTATTGCTGAAATATGTTTATCGAATTTGAGTTGAGACTGAAAAATTACTCCAAGGTCTGTAATCTCTGCCAGTCTAGAAATTCTTTGATTCGTTACATAATAAGAATGTTTGTTGTAATTTACAGATTTGCTATAAGTCATAACAACTGACTTGTTCAAATTGAGAGGTAGTTTATTTGTTATAGTCCAGTCATGGAGTACGTTAAGATCTGATTGTAACTGGTTGTAATCATGTGTATTATTAATCTCCCTGTAAATTTTACAATCATCTGCATACATTAAACACTTCGAGGTTAAAGACACTGGAAGATCATTAATAAAGATGACAAAAAGTAGAGGACCTAGATTTGATCCTTGTGTGACACCTGATTTCGCTACAAACCAGTCAGACTTTCCTTCACGAAATTTAACTATTACCTCTTGCAAACTATTAAGTCAAGCATTACCCCTTATAAATCGATATGAATGAACTTAACCAACTATTATATCGTGACAATGGTAGAAACAACCCTTTTATTGTGACAATAACATTGCACATTTAAATTATTGTTCTTCCTATTGTTGAATATGATTAATACCAGTTCAGTAGCCTGTTTGGTATAATATTGTAAAATCTTTCAACTTCGATTCGATGTTCAGGGTCAGCAGAAGAAGAGACACAAGTTTTGGTCGATATATGTGTGAAGTTGGGTGAGATGGCGATAGTTCTAAAAAATAACGAACAAGCAATCAGTTTTTACAAGGAAGGCCTACAAGTATCGCCTGACAATAAAACTATCTTAGTAGCGTTGGCGAAATTGTATATGCAAGTGAGTTTCGACTACGATTGTATAAATATACAGGGTGGGCCGATAGTGTGCCATAATCCATTTGGTCGAGTCCCATGATATCTAGAAACATGATTTTAAAACGAATGTAAAGTGGACTACAGAGTCCATAACGAAAAATGATTGCTCCATACATAGGGTGTACCAAAAAGTTTTTTGAGAGGCAATGATGATTTTTCAAAAATTAAATTATACAGGGTGTTTCATGAGAAGACTCACATAGCCGAATGGTTAATAGAGGAAATCAAGACGAGTTGATGTATATATATGAAAACATTTTTTGACCCTCCATAACGAAGATACAACAGGGTATTATGTGAAATTGTTATATAAATTTGATGGCCGATATTACAGAAATGATTCACCGTAATCTGCTGAAATTCGGCAGCGACGTATCTCTACTGAAACTATTCTAGATAACATATTATGAAGAAAAAAATCCATGTCCGGACTTAGGAAAATTTCATGTTTCATTGTTATGTCAAAAAAGTTGTGACAACTTTTCTCGAAAAATTCCATCAGATTCAGGAAGATCAGACAAAATGCTATAAGAACTGTTCTTCAATTTACACGGCACACTTTGAACGGTTCAATAAAAAAATATGGAACAAAATCGTTCGAATGAATTTTTAATTTCGACCTGGCTGATAACTGTCAACTTCCAACTGGTATCATGTGAATTGATTTTTCCTACATTTTTGTTGAATAGTAATTGACAGAAGAATAGATGAGAAGAAAAAACACGATATTTTTTTATCGAAATTCCAGATAGATATTATTATTCCTGACTTTGTTTCATGGGTTTCAATTGAAGTAATGATAAAATATCTGGTAGGCTGTTTTCCATTTGTGTGACGAGATGAGACGTTTTTTGATAATCCGAACTGATAGGTAGGTACTAGACTAGTACTAGGTAGGTATACCAACAGGAGAAATTACGACATTAGGATTCATCCCCCATATTATGGAGATTTATCAAATTAGTTATGCCATCACGCATAACCTCAGCTCCATTTTTTGTTATTGATACATTTCTGCAAGTGCAAGTGCTATTTATTCAAAATTCCTAATGTTCATCCTCGTGAAGGTTTTACTGCAACGTATTCTTGGGTCTGGAAATATTCTATGATATTAAACATAGCACAGCATTTGGATTTTCGTCTTGTTCTGCATTTGAAATATGAAGTGGCACCTAGGTGCAAGATTATTTCGATTACCAGTGTTCACCTATATCAACAAACGCCACGTTACATAAAATAAAATCAGGTCCTACTTTATAACAAATTTATAATATAGAGTCACAAGTAATCATATCCATCTAGAAGTTCGGTCAAAAACTAACATGTCAAATCATAAAAAATCAAAACTCATCTCTTCTGTCAATTTTTATCCCATATAAATGTACAAACAAATCAATTTACACGAATCTAGTTGAAAGATAAAAGTTATCAGCCAGGTCAAAATTGAAAATTCATTGGAGCGTTGTTGTTCCATACTTTTTTATTGAACCGGTCAAAGTGTGCCGTGTAAATTGAAAAGCAGTTCTTATAGAATTTTGTCTGATCTTTCTGAATCTGATGGATTTTTTCGAGAAAAGCGGTCACAAAGTGAACTTTTTTGACATAACAATGAAACATGAAATTTTCCCAAGTCCGGACCTGGATATTCTTTTTCCTAATATGTTATCTTGAATAGTTTCAGTAGAGATACGTCGCTGCCAAATTTCAGCAGATTACGATGAATCATTTCTGTAATATCGGCCATCAAAGTTATATAACAATTTCACATAATACCCTGTATCTTCGTTATGGAGGGTCAAAAAATGTTTTCATATATATACATCAACTCGTCTTGATTTCCCTTATTAACCATTTGGCTATGTGAGTCTTCTCATGAAACACCCTGTATATCTCTGACGTCGTAATTATCAATCTCAAAAGAAAATATTAATGGAGCCAACTAATAGATAGGTGTATGATATTTTTGATATTCTCACGCCTCTAAATTGTACTAGGTGGTCAAAATATTTTTCAGTTCGCAAGTTTTCGAATGAAATTTTCTCGTTTTTTCTTCAAGTTTACCTTGGTCCACCATATGATGCACAATTTGGATGAAAACAATATTTAACTCCAAATATTTTGAATTGCTCATTCACCATAAATTTAAATATGTAGGATTATGCCAGAAATTATAAGAGGTGTTCCGTTTGAGAAATTCAGGAAAGATCAATTCCAAAAGTTCCGAATTGAAACAAAAAATATTAAATATGAATACAATTATTTTCTCTTAAATTGTAGTAATGCATAATATGCAGATGAAATAATTCAGACAAAAGAAATCATAACTTCCAAACAGACATATTTAATAATATTGGAAAGTCGGTTGAATGTTATTGGCATGCTTGAAAAATGTTTCGATATACTTATATATTTTCAATATATATTTCGTTTTTTCGAACAGTTTTCCTAACAAAGTTTCACTGACAAGCTTTTGAATTTTTTCATGCTCCCTGATAAAAAAAATTGTTTTTCTACTCACATAACTAAAATGGCATGGCTAACGCTAAATGATCGATTAATCACGGATTGACGATCTGTGATTTATTCAAAATATTAAACACGTTACCATGGCAACACGATTTCTTAAACACTTAACCATGACAACACAGTTCATTGAACACAGCTTCAGTAAATTGAGACATGTCTGGCCTGTCAATTGTTGGAACTGTCGACTGTAATTTTCGAATTTTGTATCAGAATTATTCAAACAATTTCCGTTTCTATTAGAATTCATCATTAAAAATATATGTGCAATGTGGAAGATAGTGTAATCGAAGAGAATGTTTCGGTAGGTACTGGCATATCTCCAAGAAGTGTTAAAATGAAGCATCCAACTTTGAGAACAATTTATTCATTCTGCGCTAAGCATGACAATAAATGTGAAACAAAGGTGAGTATGCAATGGACTGGACACATCTACAACCAATATCACTTATACGTGTCTCGCTGGTTGCATGCAGTTGCATGGATTATGTTCTCAATTCCCATTCCTTTCGAATTATTTTGTAGGTTATCAGTAATAGCAGGTATGTTAATGTAATTTTCGGAGTTCGTAGAAAAAGTATAGTATGTAACGCGTTTATAAACTCTTCTAGACCCGCCCCGCTCTGCTCCGCTCGTGCTTAAACTACTCGTTACTAAAAGGACGTTTATAACACTTGTTACATAATATACTATTAACACTGTGATATTTTGGGGCAAATCATCTGATTTGTCCCACTACACATTTATTGAAATAATACTCGTATTTTTATTTTATAGAAACGCGGAGAGAAAATCCCAAATAATCAAGTAAAATGAATATACCTCCTCCTGGATGAACACAGACAGTATTTTTGGAAGAAATAGCAATAAAAGTCACAAAGTCTGTCGACCACGAAAATATTTTTCGATGAGTAGTGTAACTAGTTTCAGCCACAGGCCATCATCAGACAGAAAAATGATGTATTAGGAAGTACCTAAAAGATTATTATGGACATTGTTAAGGACTCCTTTTGTGTCTGATGATGGCCTGTGGCCGAAACTAGTTACACTATATTTTAGTGGTCGACAGACTTTGTGACTTTTATTGCTTTTTCTTCTTAAAATCAATTGGACCACTTTGAGAAATATGGATGGTTTCACGATTTTTCACAGACAGTATTTTCCAATATTATTGTAATTCCATCTCAAAAAATTGCCCCCCATCTTCTAGATGTTTTCCGTGCACCCTCTGTATATGCGGCAATAATTTCTGGTTATACACCATGTTGTCTATGTTGCATTCATTTTTTAATCATATGACTCGACTAATCGGATTCTGACTCACTATATTACCCCATCCTGTGTGTCTGGTGATCATTTACGCACTTTTCATTTCAGATCAACTATTTGGAATTATGTCAAAAAACATGCTCCACTATATTGAAAATCGATCCAGAAAATGAAAGTGCATCTGTTATGATGGCAGATATAGCTTTCAGGAAGGTAAGACTTCACATTATTTGACTACTGAAAATATGCTATCCTTAGACTGCTTCATCACAAAAACTGATTTTTTTGAGGCATCGATCTTCAGCGTCTTCAGTAGAAGACTAAACCTAAATATTCGGTTCTACTTTGTTCTAAAGTGTGACTTATATAGCAATGCAATCCGTAGGTCCTTCAATATTCTCATTCGAATTAAATTTACTATTGGATACTACTTTTTCTCATCATCTACTGAACTTAAGATGTACATCTCACAAACATAAATGAATAGATAAGTAGACAAACAGATAAATAGATAAACAGATGAACAGGTAAACAGGTACTGAAATGGGCGATAGATCTCATCATTTTAGTCAAAAAAGTTGATATAACATGAATCTGATCTCGATCAGTATTGGAGCTACAAGAGGTCGAAGATCAATTATTTTTTTCTATTGATTAAAATATCTTGCTCACTCTTATCAAGTTATCAATTTGAAATTCAGTGAGGTTGTTCCTTTATGAAAGATCATCATTTTAACCGTTTTGAAGATTTTCAAAATCTACAGGGTGATATATTTTTGGGGTACAGGCTTCTTTATCCTGCCTCAAACTTTTTCCTAGTTTACCTCTGACATCATCTATTCACCGTATTGTGTGAATTGTTCAATTCATTGCTACTATTTTTTTTCTTTCGAGAAACGATCCGTTCTCGAAATACATACGCATATCCGTTTTAAATAATTAAAAATTTGCCTGTTTCGCTTACATTTCATTCTTGAAGGGCTGAAAGACTTCGGTCAATGGCCTTTTGGGGTATATCCCTAATAAAGATGTTCTCTCTCTCTCTCTCATTCTTGAAAAAAATTTTACCAACTTTAAATGCTAAAAACACTTTGACCTACCTCTTGTATCCCCGCTACTGATGTTTGTAATTTTAGTACCTCCTAATTCATTTTCTACGAATTTCGTCCAATAATGTAATCTATGCGAACATTTCAAACCAAACATTTTCAATCAAATTAAAGCCTGTATTCCGTATCGTTACCATAGCAACTAAACAAATTTCTTGGAAACTTTTTCGTCTTCCTTGGGGGACGGAGCATGAAATTACACTGGAAATTTTTTCATGTTTATAGGTTAAATGACACTCACATTCAACTTCAGATTATTTCGAGTTCATTCTATAAGTCAATAAATAAAAATCATTTATCAACAGTTCACCATATAATACAATGTAGGTATACTTGCAGATTCGAAATTTACAAAAACACATGCTGTTACTGTACGGTAGTTCTCACATTTCATCACAAACAACCATAATTTCTATATAAACACTATGATGTTATCCCTACTCTTTCGTTTTGACATGAGAAATGACATGTTAATGAAAAAAATATATCATCTTTTTAAGTTAACATACAAAGCCTACCATTCAAATGCCAAACCCTAATAACACACTTATGTCCCATGGATATTCTCAGGACGTCCTGTCGGGACATTCAGGACGTCCACGGGACGTTCGAATTTGGTACCATGGACGTCTGAGGGACGCACAAATGTCCCACTTGAGGACCAACTAGGGACGTCCTTGAGAGAATACCTAAATCCTACAGTATTCGTCATCAAGCACTACAGAGGACATCCTTAGGACATCCGTAGGACAACCTATCAGCAACGCTGAGGGATATCAATTAGATGCCCATAGGATATCCCAGGGACGTACAAATTATTCTTGAATTCAATTTTTTCTGGGTTCCTCTAGGACCAGATCTTGCATAACTGATAAGGACATCCAGTTGAGTTGATGGTCCGTAGAAGGTCACCAAAAAGTTTCCCAAGGATGTCCAATGGACTTACGTGAAGGACATTGACTAGGAGTACTTATAGTCTACGAGCAATCATTCGTCGGCGAGGTGTAAGTTAACGTCCTCGCAGGGACAACATATTGAAAGTTCCGACTGGAACGTCCGACGGATATCCTTGAGGGACATTCGAAGGATGCCCCTAAGAGCTATTTGAGGGAATGTACCATCAGGGACATTTCATGGTTGTCTAGAAGGGACATTATATAAGATCTGAAGTCATGCCAGGATATGTACTACTCGGGACATCCGATGGATGTCTCTAAAGGAACATTAGAGAATCATATCCCATCAGGGACATGCCAAGGACCTCTTTGCATGGACATTCTACAATATGTACCACGTGGCACGTCTAAGGGATGCTATTTCTGGGACATTTGAAATGATGTACCAGCTGGGACATTGCGTGGACGTCCTTGCTC